ATCAGACTTTTCCTACGTGACATCTGTATATTACGAAAAATTTTTTGACAAAGTATAAAATAATAATTCGTTCTGAAAACGTTAATAGATAGTTCGGTATTTTACCAATGCGGATTGTCTCAAAGATAGCTGCCTTATTTCAAATTTTTCTAGAATCACATATATAGTTGATTTATAGTTTATAAATACAAAACATTGATGCTTCTTTTTTAGATAGCCACCCTTATTCATCAAGTAAGCGATGAGAGTCGAGAGAGACGTAACCGTGAAACGATTACAAAATCGTCAGTGCGCGTTACGCGGATGCCATTAGGACGAGACAGTTATTGCCCCGTGGACAAAACTGACTGTAAAACGGCAAACGATAAGGTGAAAATATTAATGACCACCGAGCGAACGTCCATAATGAGCGCCAATAATATCCAACGTGGCTCGACGTCGGCTATGCGTGGTCGGTGGAGACTTTCGAACTATCCGCGTAGATAAAACACCGAGCTGCATTTTCAGAGCGAATTATCGTTTTACGCAAAGAGTTTCGTAATATGTACAGATATTATGTAGAAAAATTCTGATAATTGAATTTTGATAATTTTCTGATAATTTTCTGATAAAATTCTGATAATTTTCTGTGAATCTTTAATTACCTGACATTTGTATAAATTTTCAAATATGCGCCATGTACATGAATTTACGACACAAAATAAATACGCTCCGATTCGATTCAAATTTTATGAGATAATATGGGAAATTTTTAAGTTTTATATTTATATGATGTTTTATATCAACTATACATATATTTTAAAAAAATTTGAAACAACAAAGCTTCTTTAAAACAATCCGCATAATAATTCAAAAAAATCCGATAATAATTTTCTATGATCTTCAGAATCTATTATTTTGAAAGATAATAAATGAATTTTCTATTGTAATTCCCGCAAAACGTAATTACATAATAATAATTTTGGGAAGATTATTAATTGAAAAATATGCTGGTTCCCGCGAGTAATCAGCAATAAAATATTTCGATGCGCGAATGATAACAACGTAATTAAGAATATGCGAACAAGTTCTTGATGCGATTAACCGCACCGCGTTTGACTTTGTTCTTCTTTCCCTTTTTATAATAGGAATCCGCGTGCATCAGCGGCGCAAATTTTCCGACGTTGTAATATGTAACGCGGGAGAGAAAGAGGGAGGGAATGCGAGAGAGTGAACATGCGAGACTGGCTGAGCTCTCTCGCGTCCGACGCAAAAAAGCTACGCTCGCCAAGTTTTCTTAAGCGAGGGCACGAGCACACGGCAAACTTGCCGCAAAAAAGCGAGAGCTTTTTCGCCGTGCATCAGCGCCAGCGCCGTCATCAATGGAGAGAGAAAGGGAAGACGAAGGGAGATAAAGAGAGCCTCTTTTTATCCGGTGTAAAATGTATAATGTCGCCTATCAAACAGCCATGTAGTAATAACGCGCGTGTACGGTAACTTTGGTCTGTCTAATCTCGCTCGTACTCGAAATGCCTTTTCATTTAAAGAGAAATGAAATAAGAACGATCCAAATTTCCAAAAATTTTCGAATAATTTAATTTAATCAATTTAACGTTCACCACACTGCAAAAGGTAAAAAAGTGAAGTATAATAAAAGTAAAATTACAGTAATTAATAATCTTGAAAAGGATGTAAGCGAGAGAGAGAGAGAGAGAGAGAGAGAGAGAGAGAGAGAGAAATAGTA